CAAAAGGAACAAGTAAGTCAACACCACCATCTTTCCACATAGTCCCTTTCTTTTCATCTGCTCAACTCTCTTCAGGGAAAATACTGGAATAATGAGAAAAGAAATCAGGTAGTTGATTGACACGCTATGATGCCCTTCTTGGACACATTTGTAAATAATGGACATCAAAGAAAAGAGATGGGGAAATAAGTAAAAGGCTCAGAGGAATGAGAAGAAAATTGTTCCTGGGAATAAGATTTTCTTAAGAAGATAACCTGGTTTAATATCCATGTAAATTTTTTCTTTCTTCACAAGTCAAAGGCAACCACATAAAAGAAACTACCTAAATGACCCAGCAGGCTTCCTTCTGATCTGCTTTCAATAGCCTAGATTTTTTTATTCTCTTGAGGCAGAATCTTGGAATGGACTTTAGGCTGACGTCTCCACATCTCAAGTGTCAGGAGGACCAGTGATAGCCCCGATTAATTAATTAATTAATTGTGCCAGTACTGGGGCTTGAACTAGGGTCTCAAGACTGTTTCTCTACCACTGGAGCACACTGCCACTTCTGGCTTTTTGCTGGTTAATTAGAGATAAAGTACTCAAAGGCTTTCATGCCTGGACTGGCTTCTTTTTTTTCTTAAATTTTATGGATTTATGTGTTGAATAAATTCAATAAACTGATATGCAATGATCATAAGCACATATAAACATTATAAATATTAGATTTTTAAGGAGTAAATTCTTATTTATTAAGCATAAAGTACATTATTTTTCCAAAATATAGGAGTTGAATTTCAACAAAACTTAATAAAATAAGGCACAAGGTTTAAAAAGCAAAATTCACAACGATTAGTTAATACAAGCTCACTATATATATATATAAAATATATACTGGTAGGAAGAATGTAAGGGAGTTTGAATATTCTTTCTAAAGGATTTACATTATGAGGTAACATTTGAATTTGGCACAATAAGCCATATTTTATCCAGAAAATAAAACTTGATCTAGCTGTGATCTTCAGGTCTCAGTTTCCTGAGTAGCTAGAATTACAAGTGTAAGCCACCAAAGCTGAAACAATTTCTCAACAGCCATTTATATTGGCGGAAATACTTTCTCCTTTCTTCTTTCTGGTGATCCAGGGAGCATGAGGATACTGCAATGTAACCCGGATGTCTGTGCCTGCCTGGTAAACAAGGGCTAAATTCCCCCCGTTCAAAAAAACGTGCAAACATGGAAGTGGCGCTGTAGCTCAAGTGGTAGAGCTGAAGAGCTGAGGGACAGTGCCCAGGCCCAGAGTTCAAGCCCCACGACTGACCAAAATAAAATAAAATAAAATAAAAAAACGTGCAAACATGCAGTCACATGTCATTGTTGGTGAGGGAGAGTAGGAAGAGAAATGGGACCTCCTTGTGGTAATGTCTGTATCTTAAAAATAAACTCCAAAGATGCTATGGGGCATAAATTCAATATTTAGAAGTGTGGTTGCCTTAAAGAAACACTAAAAATACTCTCATGGTTGGCCTTCAAATTTTGGGGGGAAGGGGGCCTCAATTCTTAAGGCTTTCTTTTGTCCTCTTCCTGACTTCTTTTTTCTTTTACACCCTCTTTCCTCTCACCCTTCTCTTCTCAGAGAGCCAAATCTATGAAATTGATTACATGGTCAAGTTCAGCAAATACACATTTGTAGAACTGTCATGATGTGGCGATCATAGTAGGGAATAAAGAGGAAGGTGTACCACACCCCTGCTCACAAGGCAATTAGAGTCCTGAGAAAGAATGAGGAAAGGGGCGTGTATTCTGGAGAAGAAAAACCACACCTGCCACTAGGGCGTCTGGAGAGAGACGCTGCTTCCTACACGGTTAGCTGAGTGATAAGGCCAATCATTCAAACACACAGTACCTAACAATGACTAAGCCCTTGGATCAGAGATTAGATCTGCTGAGTTCTGAGGACTGGGCCTCCTACTCTCTCCATTAGAAATACCCAGAGTTATGTGGTGGGACATCCATTCGTAGCTATTCCTTGGATTATATTATTTCCATTCTGTAGTTATTCCTTGGATTATATTATTTTTTCCCTTGTTGTACAGAAGCGGTTAAGTCAGGTGCATCTCATTTTTCAGTTCTTACTTCCCGAGTAATTGAAGTTCTATTCAGAAAGGCATTACCTGTGCCTGTGTCTTCACGGGTTCTCTCCTAGAGGTTTCAAAGTTCATTCATTCATTTTCAGTTAATTTTTTCACAAGGGAAGAGAACGGGGCTCTAGTCCCAGTCCTCCTCAGGTGGTTATCCAGTTTCCTCAGCATCATTTGTAGAAGAGACTGTCCCTTCTTCAATACAGGGTTTTGACCTCTTTGTCAAAAATCAAGTGGTTCATTTCTGGATCTTCTATTCCATGGATCTATGTGTCTTTTTTGTTGTTGTTGTTGGTCATGGGGCTTGAACTCTGGGCCTGAGCCTGGGCGCCATCCCTGAGCTCTTCAGTTCAAGGCAAGCACTCTACCACGTAAGCCATAGTACCATGTCTAGCTTTTTCTGCTTATGTGGTGCTGAGGAATTGAACCCAGGGCCTCAGGCATGCAAGGCAAGCGCTCTACCACTGAGCCACCTTCCCAGCCCCTATGTGTCTGTTTTTATGCCAATACCATGCTATGCTTTGTTCCTATGACCCTGTAGTATAATTAGAAGTCAGGCATTTTTATACCTATTGTATTACTCTTTTACTCAGGATTATTTTCTCTATTCAGAGTTGTTTATTCTTCCAAATGAATTTTACATTTCTTTTTTCTATTTCTGTGAAGAATGCTATTAGAATTTTGATGTGGATTAAATTGGATGTATAGATTGCTGTAGGTAGTGTGGCCATTTTCACAATATTAATTCTGCTAGTCCATGAACATAGGAAGCCTTTCTATTATCTAGCATCTTCAATTTCTTTCTTCAAGATTTTATAGTTTTTGTTGTAGCGGTCTTTCACCTCTTTAGGCTTATTCCAATTATTTAATTTTTGAGGCTATTGGGAATGGGATTATTTTCCTGATTTATCTCTCAGTCTGGTCATTATTAATATATATAAAATATACTGAATTTTTAATATTGATACTATAAACTGTTGCTTTGCCTAAAACCTTTATCAACTCTTATAGGAGCTCTCTCTCTCTCTCTCTCTGTTCATGAATAGTCTTTAGGATCTTTTAAGTATATAATCATATCCTCTACAAATAGTGTTAACTTGACTTCTTCCTTTCCTATTTGTATCCCTTCTATTTTTCTTGCCTTATTGCTCTAAGAATTCTAGCTTTATATATTGAATAAGAGTGAAAAGAAAGGACACCTATGTTTTGTTACTGACTTTAGAGGAACTAGTTTAAGTTTTTCCCCATTTAGGACAATGTTAACTATAGTGTAGCCCTTATTGTATTGAGGTAAAGCATTATAAATTAAATGTCAAAAGAACAAACAATCTAATTAGTAAATGGGCAAATAAATTGAACACACAGGTCTCAAAAGAAGCACAAAGGGCTAATAAATACATGAAGAAATGTTCAAAATCCTTATTCATGAAAGAAATACAAATCAGAACTACTCTGAAATTTCATCTTTCCTTAGTCAGAATGGCAATCAACAAGAAAGAAAACACACAAAATGCTGGTGATAATAGGAAGTAGGGACCTCAATATTGTTGACTGTAAATTAGTGTAGCCACTATGGAAATCAGTGTGGTGGTTCCTTAAGAAATTAGCGAACTACTATATAATCTTGCTATACCCAAAGAAATGTAAGGCAGCATACAATTGAAATGCCTGTACACTAATGTTTATGACAGCATTGTTCCCAATAGCCAAAGCATGGAATTAATCCAGATGCTCATCATATTCATAAACTGATGAATGGATAAAGATAATGTACATATATGTTATACATATACATACATATACATCATTTTATCCATTTATATATAATGTGCGTGTGTGTGTGTGTGTGTGTGTGTGTGTGTGTGTGTGTGTGTGTGTGTGTGTATTCAGCTTTATTTACCCATAAAGAAGAATGAAAGTATGTCATTTGCAGGAATATGGATGGAACCAGAGATTTTTGTGAAATAAGCTAGACTGAAAAAGACAAACAGGGCATGGTATCTTTCATATGTGGAATCTAAAATTTAAAAATTGTTATAACAATGTAGAGGCTGTTCTAGTGTAGGGTCCAGTGGGATGGGAAAGGACAAAGGAGATGGCAAAGTGGAGGTGAAGATGGCTGACGTGCTTTATAAACAGGTATGGAAATAGACTAGTGAAGATGGTTAAACCTTGTTTAGAAAGGGAGGGAGGAATAAGAAAGGGAAACTGAGGCGGTGATTTTCATAAAAGTACATTTTACACACACAGGTACAATTGTATTTATATATAATGAAACTATTTGTACAATTGACACTAATTTAAAAGTCACTTTAAAAAGAGAATACCTGGTGTATTAGCATAGTTTCTATTCCTACATTCACTGAGTATTGAGTGCAAACTCTTCCAAGTACTGGAGATACTCAGGTGAATAGCTCAAGAGCCATATGGTCTAAGGAAGAGGTGCATTATAACCAGATGTGCTCTGAACAAAGCTTATATAAAACAGGACCTAAGAAGAGGAGGTTAATTTTGCTTGGAAGGGTCAGAAATGGTTTCAAAGGACAATTTACCTTTGAACCATTTGGTCAGGAGATGCAAGTAATTGTTGAGAGATGGCTATGCAGAAAGGAATGAGATTCCAGGTATCCAAAGGGGCCTCAAAACCTCCATTTACACGATCAAGAAAACCCTTCTAGTGTCTAGGGAATTGGTCCTTTCAAAGAAAGGGGAATTATGGGAGAAGAAGCGAGGGAGATGGCTCAAGCCAGGAGGATATGTGTGTCTTGGGCCGGCGTTTGTCTTTCTGTCCTGCAGGGTACCTCTGAGGTGGTTTACACCTTTTGTCTCCAGACTGGAATCCACTCTCCTCACCCCGCAGGAGATAGTAGGAGATGGCTCACCTTGCGAGGAGGCAGCTGGTGCAGTCTTCCTGGGTGGGCCCCCGGCACGTGGCACACGAAGCTTCACAGGCCTGGCAGCAGCCCTGCTCATCGAGGTATTCTCCTGGGGAACAAAATCCCACTGTTTATACATTTCTACATGACAAGTCTTCCTTGAACAGCCTCTGGCCGGTCCCCTATCATGACCTTGCACGAAAAATCGCTCCTTCCTCAGGAGCCCCAGAAGTGACAAGCAGACACTGTTGCACGGATCAGCATGTGCTGCAGAGTTTAGAAGTAGAGAAGGCCAAAAAGGTTTTCCACCAGGCCCGCTCACAGAGTTCTTACTGACTTTCCCATGAAGAGCTGAGGCCTCAGAGTCCAACAGAGCCATGATGAGGACTTCCCCATAGGCTGTCTAACCCACTGGGGGGAGAGGGATTGGCTGGCATTTGGCAGGCATGAGCTCCATCTGAGTTTTTGGAAAACTAACAGCGAAGAGAGCGCCAGGGCATTTTCCCTCTCACAGAGAGGTTATCATTTCCAAGGAAAAACACACAGGAGACCTTGCCACAGAGGCAAATTTCATCTGGCCCATTTCTTTTGCACGTTTTGGAAAGGACTCTCCCTTGGCAGATGGGGTGGAGGCTGACCTCACGGAGCGCAGTGGTCCAAGGGTGGGCCCTGCACGTTGAATTCAAACCCTGCTTCCACGCCACACTCCTCTCTCTGCCATTGCTTTAACAAATCAATCTGCTTCCTCAGTCAAATGCAGAAAGCCACATCTTTGGGGGGGATGGGGGTGGGAGAGGGGTGAAGCTTAGACAATATGTTATGCTCAGGAGAAAATGAATTTTCCGATTTTTGGCAGAGCCCTACCCTTCCCTTGACCCAGAACCCCATCCCCCACCCCCATTTTGACAGGCCTGGGAGCATCTGAAGTTGTTGATCTGAAACCCAGCTGGCGTGCTGAGGTATCCTGACTCACCCAGAGCTTCATCAAACTGTCTTACTGATGCTCCAAGATTTACTGCTGTTTTATTGTAGTTGCATTGAGAAAAGCTCGGAAAACCCAGACTTGACTGGTTGAGGGATGAGAGACATTCTCTCTCCCTTTTCTCTACAGCTTTACAGAGGTGGTACAGTCTGAAAAGGTAAGCTTCACATTCATAAATCTTCCATTTGCTTGAAGTAAACCACAAAGACAAATGAAGGGACAGCTGGAGTTTTCCCTTATCAAAGAGAAAAGGCCTTTTGTGCAGTTATTCGACTAGTTTTGATAACTAAGCAGAAAGGGTATGTGCAGAGTGATACAGACCCTTTTCTAAGTCTAGTAGTTGTTACCAAGGTACAAGGTGAATCAGGAATCTGATACATAGCTGTTAGAATGGAATTGTGTTTCTTCCTTTAGGAGTAGAGTCCTGGGCCCCAAAGCATGGGTATCTACCAGGGACAAAACAACAAACAACCTGAGATATGCACTTGGTCCCTGCTGGTCCAATGGTTAAGTGGTGACTGGGATCTAGCCCATGTGGCTCTCTCCATGCCTTGCTGTCTGTGTGAACTATCTCTGCCTCTGCAGAGGATGATGCTTTTTCTTAACTCACCTCAAAATGTTGAATAGACATATTACTTTTTGGCAACTAATAGTCCTAAGCCAAAAAAAGGAGGGGGACTTACTTCTAGTAGGCGTAATTTCAAGGCAAGATGGTCTTATTTAAACAAGCATCATGTAAATGTAAATTGTGTAAAGGTAAATGTAAATGTAAATGGTGTGGGTTTTCCTACTTTATCTCTTATTTATTACTAATTGTCTCTCCCTTGTTGTCATGGGAAGCACAATCAATTTGGCAGAGTGATTATCAGTCCGTGCACTTGGCACAAGTAAGAGCAGAGGATCTAGACTAGAGTTGGTAGGAAGAAATAGACCTTGTCTCCAGGGGCCAATGTAATTTCTGTTCATAGAGAAGTATAGATCTGTCTCGTGTGTGTGTGTGTGTGTGTGTGTGTGTGTGTGTGTGTGTGTGTGTGTGTGTGTGTGTCTGCAGGTTCTGGGGCATGAACTCAAGGCCTGAGTACTGCCCCTAAACTACTTTCTTGTTCAAGGTTAGCACTCTACCACTTGGGCCACCACTCTAATTTTGGTTGATTTGGTGGTAAGAATCTCATGGACTTTTTTTTTTTTTGCCAAGACTGAGTTTGAACCAATCATGATCTGCAGATCTTAGCCTCCTGAATGTCTAGGATTACAAGTGCCAGTCCCACAATATCTATTTGTGTGTATAAGCATCTGTGTGTGTGTATGTGTGTGTGTGTGTGTGTGTGTGTCTGTGTCTGTGTGTGTGTGTGTAGTACTGCTGCTTGAACTCAAGCCTTGGCACTTTTCCTGAGCTTTTTGTCAACATATCACTCTACTACATTGGCAGCAGCTTCACTTTTAGTTTTTGATGGTTAATTAGAAAGGGAGTTTTACAGGTTTTCCTGGCTAGGCTGGCTTCAAACTGCAATTCTAAGATCTCAGCCTTTTGTCGTCAATATGTTTATATGTCTATATATGCTGAGTGGAAGAGGAATGGAAGTCAGAGAGACCTCAAAATCTAAGGAAAGTGTATTCTAAAGAAACCTGGTATGGAGGGGTGGGGGTGGGTGGGAGGGGGAGATGAGAAGGGATGGGAAGGGGAAACAAAGGAGGAGGCAACAATGTTTGATAAGAAATGTAACAATGTTTGATAAGAAATGTACTCATTTCCTTGCCCATGTAATTGTAACCCCTCTGTACAGTATTTTAACAATAATAAAAAAAAAGAATCTGGGCTCAGAGAAACTTCTTCATTCATCCATCTATTTTATGGATGGTTTTGGATGGCAAATACAGGGCTGGCACTAGATGAGATTCAGAGACATGTGAAGTTGAAAGGTATTTAAATGTGAGAGGTGTTGGGTTTCCAAAGAGGTTTGAGACTTACTAGGATTTACTAGGAAAGAGTTACGACTCAAACACTAGCCAGGTGCCTTCTACCTCCTCAGTCTAAAGATCTAGATGAGCAAAGATGCACGGCGCATGAGACCTGTGCAGACGGACAGGCCCAGGTGATGGCTTTGTCCTGGTGTCAGTGATGCAGCTCTTCATATTCACCACTGTAATAGAATCATGATGTAGCAGGCCCCAAACTAGATGGGATTTTCTTAACGATCTCTTGCTCTGTGAAATCAAAAGCAGCTTACATGATTCTGAGAGTTTTTAACATATATCCGCACCCAACACCTTTCTGATTACTGATGGTGCATGGCTGGGTCAGCTGAGGGTTATTAGGGTTATGATGGGACTTTCATGCTTTCTTTCATTTGCCAACACTTTGACTTGCATATCCAGTGGATATTCCTGATCAGCTCAATGATCCTAGTTCTACAAGTATCCACAAAATGCCACTGAGCATGACATCCAGATTTGAAATAAATCCTCCAAACATAATGACTCACGCCTGTAAGATTCTCCATTACCCAGGTGACCCTCCCCACCGAGACCGGGTCTGACCATCTCAGAACATAAGTTCCACCTATTCTTGCTGGGAAAGAAACCTCTTAATTTGCTGAGAAGGTATCTGAGTTCCCTCAGCACCCATTTTTCTCAATGTCAAAATAACTTCTTATCTTCTTAACTGTGTTCCTTAACTCCTGTCTCTGAGAAATGGTAAATCTCTCTCCCCTCCACTGTCAACTCTCCATTGAATGGAATTCATCTTCTGTCCTACAGTCTTTTGTCCTCAATCTCTTCTTTACATCTTCCATTGTCTTCCATTCTACCACATTTCTCTTCTAGCCTAACACCTTTCCCAGCTCTTCCCTTTCCTGATAAGCGACCCTTCCAACTTGTTTTCTTTTCCTGCTTCTTGGAAGCAAGATGGAGAACACTTTACGACCTTGAGGCTTATGTAAGAGAGTCAGCGAAGGACAGCTAGCTGTTTCCTCTCTCCAGTCTGCACGCCTCTTCAGTTTGGAGCAACTTCTGGCTTTGCAACAGATGACAGTGGAGGGCCTGCCCTAATTCTGGTATTATGTACATAAACAACTGCACGTAGCCGTTACACACACAAGTTTTCCACAGCACATTTGGAATGAAGGAAGTGGCATTCCAAGGACGTAGGGAAGTTGGAGATTTTTTGTTGTTGTTGTTGGAACGGCAAATTTGTGTCATCTGTCTTCATTGCACAATGAAGTTGAATGTTTATGACAGGAGGCATATACGAAATTCTCAGAAAGAGCCACTTCTAGCAGAGACAGCAGGACCAGTACTCTGTTGTCCACCTCATCCTACAAGCTCTTCTTTCTGGAGTCTCTGTCTAAATCTTCCTTCTGTTGTGATAAAAAAATTTCTATTTCCATTTGAGTTTCCTTTTCTCTCTGATCCTCTAATGGCCAAAGGACACTAAGAAAATGGGGCCGTATAGGGAAGAATGAGGCCTTCCAAGGAAAGACCCGGCTTAAGAATCAGGACTAGTAAATTTAGAAATGTACAAGTAAGCTGGGAGCTGGTGGATCATGATCACAATCCTCAAGAATCAGGAAGTTGAGACCTAAGGATTACACTTCAGGCCAGCACTGGAAAAGCCAATTAACCAGCAAAAAGCCAGAAGAAGTGGAGGTGTGGCTCAAGTGGTAGGGTGCTAGCTTTAAGTAGAAATGCCAAGAGGACGAGGCCCTAAGTTCAAGCCCCAGGACTGGCACACACCAAAAATGTACAAATAAGTGGCTATCTCTGCTTATATCCATTCCTTGATAACACTGCAGAAAACTATCAACAAGTCTGGGTAATGAGCAGTTCTTAGGAAGCCATCCACAACATATAAAGGTATATTGCAGCTAGAATAACTGTTATATAGTTATAAAACATGATGGAGATTTTTTTAAGGTTTTACATTTCAACAAAAGAAATACTGTTCTACCTTTGATTTGTAATAATATTATCTTATAACAATTAAAATGTATGCAAATAGGTATCTATCTTCATAAATGAATAGACACTTAAGTAGAGAAATTTTGAGGGGAATTTAAAGTAACTTTTGGATCAGTTGACTAGAATGACAGCATGGAAGGAAGGAATCATTGAGCATT